GGCCTGTCCGGCTTTTGTTAGGCTTTTTATTTGGTTGCGAAAGTCGAGCCACAGAATCAACCGATGATGATAGTACTCACTCATGAGCTGACACTAATTGCACCCCCCCCCCCCGTCACATGTCCGGCTTTTGGGCTAAAATGTCCGGCCAAATGACACACAAAGTCCGGCTTTTGTGATTTTGGACCTGGCAACCCTAGCCGTAGCGTGTGCCCGCGCCGCGTGCACTGCGTTATAGCTGACCTCGCGTCCAATTCGCGCGGGCGCGTGCGCGTGCTATGCGCGACTATGTTGATTGATAATGCGCTCAGCTGCTTATTGCCAGTTCATAAGCATAACTTCTTTTTGCGTTATTTTTATTATTCAAGGCATTATATTACACGTGCTTTGCTGTTCATATAGTTAAGTAATATTATCAACATCAACAGCCCTTTACAGTCCACTGCTGGACTATGAGCCTCCTCCACTATAGTGGAGGGTTTTGCCATAATATTATACCACATTAATATAAGTAATATTAGACCACATTGCAAAGTTTCAGACTGTTTCAAGCGTTCTAAAATACAGACGTTTATTCTGTCTATTTCCTAAACAAACAAAATCTCGTTTAATTAACTTGCTTAGAGAAACATTTGCACCTGAGCTTCTCTAAATTGGGCTAGCTAGTTTATAATTAAAAGCCCTTTACACTCCTAAGGTTGTTTCATTCTCTAATTATTCTATTAAATGCTCTCTACTCTGTAATTTATTTGGTAATTTAATTATCTGGAGCTGAAATCTCAAAAGATCTTAAAAACTCATCTTGGCTTACCTTTGATCTTGGGTCCAAAGATTAAAAATCAAGCGACATCTATAGAAAATATAAGTAAAAATAACCGTCAATTGGATCACCCGTAATTACCCTCGATGCGCCTGAAACGCCGGCGGCTTCATAATTGCGAGTTTGGAACCTTTGTCGAATAACAATACGACTATTGTTATCTTTGGAACACGAAAATTAAATTAGTCAAAAGGTCCGTAAAATAACGGAGGGATATTAAACGAGTAATGAAAAGAACGTCCGTGATAAAGCCGTAAGCAACTGCACGTGTAGCTGCTTTGCGACATCAAAGGTACTTGTGTCGGACAATTAATTATATTTGTGCGCCCTAGGTCTGTCGCAGACAATTTATTAACCTGTTAGCAGAATGTGCAGTCTGCAATAAAATTTAATGGGAGTGATTAACAAAATTAAAATTGGAAGTCATTGAGACTGCACATCTATTTCTAAAACCTAATAAACAGTGCAATCAGAAGTGCATGCTTCTAATGAACAATGTTAGAACTTCGTCCCGTAACACGAGCAAACAACATCTTCGTACACAGAACAGTTTTTCAACTGGACCTATTCCCGATAAAGCAGTGCCGACGTGGTGAGAAGGAAAGGTGTCGCGAGTCGTCCCGCATTATACCATTACTGGCCATTAATTATAACTGCACGTGTGGTATCAGAAAGTAAACGGCAGTAATTGATGCTTTGTAAACAGTCCACACGGCTGCAAATTGAATGAGTGAATGAACGTAACGAGTGGGATAATGGCCGCCGATTCTGCGGTGGGCCGCAATCACGGCGAAAGCACGGGCCTATCGCGATCCTGTACCGGGAAAACAATAGGGAAGCGGTCAACACTAGTCAAATGACATGCGTTATGCTGTCAAACCGCGATTCTTTGATGGACAAAATCAAAGGAAACCTTTGACATCACTATAGCTCAATTTGAAAACTCGACTCGGTTTCAGGGTCAGAATGATTCATTTTTTTGAAAGAGGTGCTGGTGTATGGTAGGTGTCAGCTACGTAATTGGTAAATCGCTATGTGTATGATAATTGCCTTGCGGTTTACATTTGATGCGCGCGATCGCTATCAGAGTGCGCTGTAAGATGCGCTAACGTTGTATGTTAATATTTACACGATATAACCGTATTATGCACCTTTAAAATTTTCAACTATATGACTATTTGGAGTTTGAAATGCTTTTATGCTTCAGTTATGTGAAAGTTCAAAGTTCTAATCTTAAGCTAAGCTTTATAATCTTTGCTGTAAGGTTTGACCGCAGCTGCAAAATTGTCTAACAAGTTATGGCTAGCATATTAGAATAATACAAGAATATCTTGGTTTATAATTAACTTTTATCAAATTGCAATTTTAGTTAATAGTATCTATTCCATTAAACTTGATCCCGTCATCAATACACGCCAATTTGTTAATTAACATCGATATCAACTTTGCGGTTTATTAATTAAAGTGCAAATCAGACCATCAACATTGTAATAGGAGAGCGTGTTTAGCATGGCAATCGCACTTCACGCTATTTTACTTCCCATGCTCGTAAACACCATAAGCACAACAAGTCAGGGTTGACAGTAGACACTGTATGCATTTTACGTTTAATAATAACTCGCGATATACATTATTTTCTTTTAACAGTGCTAGTTAGGTTAGCATATGGCGTAAGTTATTTTACTATTATTCGATCGACAACTATTTGTGGCAGCTCTACCTGCATCCAAGGTGCACTACCATCAGCATCGCGATGATAAGGGTGGGTTCTTTGGTATCTAACGCTACGACTATGAGACTATAAAACCAAAAGAAACAGAGCATCTCCTATAGACATTTCATGCGCTATCATTGCTACGCCCTAGGAATGAAAAAACTTCGAAAATAAAGAAGATAGAAAGAGGGTCTTCTCATGATTTCCGGATTTTTGACCATAGCTGGCGTTTATATCTCTATATTTTTTTTGGGAATAAAGGCGATTTACGAAAAAACGTAGTCATAAAATAAACAAATCTGATAAACTGGTAATTGATTTAAGTCCTATGCATACGCGCAGTGCCGTAACTAGCCTTTTATGCGCCCGGTGCGAGCTTTCAAAACTGTGCCCTTGAAAAATGCTTGGTCTGGTCATTTCTGCGCCCCTCCAGGGTCTGCGCCCTGTGCCTGGGCACCGCTGGCACCGCCCTAGTTACGGCACTGCATACGCGTGCGTGAACCTGCCATGGTTATGGCAAACATTTTTATTTTATACGATGCGACAGCTAGCACAGCCGGTGCACGTCATGATAAAGACTGACTAACAAATCTTCTAAAACTGTCACGCCTTTTAAAATACCCTCCAAACATATAAATTCAAAGTTTAGATATCAAGCCAAACACTATTATTTTAAGATGTTGAATGAATTGAATGAAGTGCAATTTAGCAACATGAATTTATAGTCTAATGTGCTGTCGGCTGTAGTAAATTACATCATTCTACACAATCCATTTGCTCTTAAAATTCATTGAAACGTGACTAACATAATTCCAAAGTAAACAGCTCTCGTGCAGGCGGAGTGTACGGATTACTTAACGAGTGCGTCAGTAAATGTGCCGCTTTTAGTGCATTTGCAGCGTGCAATCAGCGATATAAATGCACACAAAGTTTACCTTATGACAATTCAAATGAGCTAACCTTCAGACTGGATACTATTATCACACTTTGATGTCATAAAAAAGAACAGTCTATGACTGTCTTTATACAAGGTGTAGCGGACAGTTTGGTGACAAAACCTAACTTTAAACGATCGATTAAATATTTTTTTTAGAAATGCCAGGCGAAGTTTTTATTCATTCCCTAGCTAAAGCTTCCACCCCTGATACATTAGCTTAAAAAAATAATGTAATGTTTTGTCTATCTTATGGATCCGACGTCGGCATAAAGCAATTTCCGTTATATCAAAAATACGTGGGGATTGGATTATAACCGTATTTTTTTATTAATGAAATACTGCCTACGTAGGTGTAGAGTAAATGATTGAACGAGTATTAATAGCAGAAAAAAGGCAAATGAAAAGAAACAAATTGTGGTGTCGACCTTCAACTTAGCTTCGTATTAAATATTCCTCAGTCGCTTAGTGCTTTCCTAGTAACCCATTGTGTACTAAATTGACGAGTGCTGTCGGCTAACGCGTGTTAATAGGTGGCTTCTACAGGATGTTAGGTAAATGGGTATATGAGCCGAGACTAGCCCATGTTAACATAGGCATATAAATGGTATGGTGAAGTAAGAAAATTGATATCTTCATTTTAATTATTTTATTTTTCATACAAATCGGATTTTATAAAATTTATTTTGTATGAAAATTAAAAAAATTAAAATGATGATATCAAATTTCTGACTTCACCATACCATTTATATGCCCATGTTAACATGGGCTAGTGTCGGCTCATATACCCATTTACCTAACACCCTGTATACTTCATCGACGTTTCTCAGTAAAGACAGCGCGTTATGAATGTTGAATAACCACTTATAGCGTCACTAGTAACTCAATTTTCTGCTATAATTTGATCAAATGTCACAGTTTATCGATACTCGTTAAGTAACTTTATTTGATTTAAGTCTAGGATTTGTCTCTATGACCTTAGGATTGAGACATTATTGTGATTCAGTTAACATTAAATCAGATTGAAAAATGCGTAATTTCTTATTATTCCATCCATTTACATGTCAACAAGACGTGGATCTCAAAAGCAGTAAAGCAAATTCAATAAGAGTCGATTCATTATTCAAGAAAAATTAATATCCAGCTGAATTTTGTTTACCAAAAAATACAAATACAGGCTCTCGATTCTTAATACCCTTTAACAATTTAGAACTGTGGTGCGATTGTCTAAGGCAATCGTATTCATTTGACAGTTCATAACGTACGTTATGATGTGTCAAACGGCTAATTCTAATTGTGTAAGGAGTTCATAAAACGATAACGATATGTTAACGATTTGATCGTAATTTTATACGATGAGTGAATGATGAATATGATTTTGACAGAAAATTCGAATTGTCTAAGTTTCATGAGCCCATTGCTAATGTCAAATGATTGCGGTGACTCGTAACTCATGATAATCGTATAAATTCTCATAGGAGGTGTAATTCTATCCTCGTCCTCGTATGCAAATTGTTAATTTATTTCTTTGAAAGATAAAGTGTGGTAAGCGGTGAGTGCTTGGTGTTAATGGAAATAAGTTTTAGTGAGACACAAGAGTTCTTTTTCATCAACACTAAGTTTTGTACTATACTACTACGCAATTAATTACTTAAAATTAAGTCAATAAAGTAGTTAGGTAGGTACCTACTTAACACGTTTTAATCAGCCTTAACCCACAATACTGCCAAAGTGGTAGGGTAAAGTTATGTTGGGACATGTAAAAGTGCCCTGTGTGGGCTTATTTACAGGAATAAATGACTAATAAAATAAAGAAAACTGTTCAAATATACACATCTTTTTATTTAAATTCTTTACACAGACAGCTATAAGTACTTCTTTTGTGGTCAGCCTTCGTCTCTTTACAAACTAAGTTTTTATTTTAAATATAATACTATAGGTACTTTAAATCACAGCATTCTTGAAAACTTAGTTTTTTTTTGGAACAACAAGATATAAAATAACCATGAAAAATCAACAGCCTCCCTACTCATTTGTACTTGTCGTTTTTTCTAACAAATAATTATGCAATAAAATGTATTGTTTTAAACTTTTATGGTTACTAAAATAATAATCATTAATACACTTCGAAGAGTTCCAACACTGGTAGATGGTAGGACAGGTGCAGGCGCTGTAGAACAAGATGAGAGCTGCAATGACAAACAAAATAACATGTTAGCTGCTAGCTAGGATATAGCTACAACACATATCTATTATCCTACTAATATTATAAATGCGAAAGTTTGGATGTCATAATGTCTGGATGTTTGTTACTCTTTCACGCCAAAACTACTGAACGGATTTTGTGTAAACTTAACAGTATTATTGTTTGTAACCTAGATTAACATACAGTCTATAATTTATGACAATCTGTGACAAACTAAATTTTAAGCGGGTGGAGCCGCTGGCAAAAGCTACTAAAAATACCTTCATTATTTGTGCAACATAAATCATACTGTTCATACATAATAATAATATAAACATACATTATCATATTCCATTATTTAACTTACATATTTTAGAGTAGCAGTAGCAGTAACTGGAGTATTCTCCACCTGGGTGTGGGAAATTATTGGAAGAGTTCCAACACTGGTAGATGGTGGGACAAGTGCAAGTGCTGTAGAGCAAGACGAGAGCTGCAATGAGAAACAAAAAAAACATGTTAGCTGCTAGCTAGAATGTGGCTGAAAAATTGTGATAAATCTTAGTCACTGTTTTTTTTAAGCATAACGAGGCAGGTATTTGACCACAATCGCACCAAGTGTTAAGTGGGATGCAGTCTAGGATGGTACATATCTGCGCTGTAAGTGCCTATTCACTCTCGCCTTGTAAACACCCGGATTATAGTCTTCGGGAAAGACAGCAGCAGGCAACAAATTCCAGTCCCTAGCTGTTCGCATTATAAGAGTCATAATAATGTTATGTTGTGTAAGTATGTTGAACAGTTTATTGGTTAATGTCAATAAAATAGGCCTTACCGTTTTCCAGGCTTGCACCTCTTTAGACGTCCCATCCCCAATCTTGTTTAGTGCCCAGGACGTGTTGCGCCAGAACTCAAGTCAAGGAACCCTCATCACACGACCACGCGCTGTTACTACATTATTTAGCTGGGTCTCCATCTGGCGTGGGCAATTATTCTTGCCTTTGGCACTGAAAATGAAATTGATTATTTGATATGAAGAAACCAAAGTTACAGGAGTAGTTATTGAAACTTGGGTTGTTTTCATTTTTGATAGAATGCCTTAATTTAGTGTAATAATCTATACTTACTTGTGTTTATAAACAAATTTAACATAATTCAAAAACTTCGTAAAAGTTTTTCAAGTTTTTTGACACTTGACAGATAACACTTGTCATTCACAGAACATAGATTAAAATACTACTTCTCAAAACACTTATATAAGTATAATTTATTAAATGTGAGATTAAGTTCGCCTTAGGTTAAAATTTTGGCATTAAAGTATAAATAAATAAAAAGAAGTAAGCATTTCACGTCGTTTTTCGTAGTCCATTAACGCCACCTATTGTAGAGTAGTATTCAACTTAGCCTGCCTAGCCTTAAAGTATGTATGCCACCTGGGGGCGGGTAGTGGAACTCGTATTTCATTCGTTCTATGCGTTTGGTTATATGATTTGCAGAGGTAAATTTTTAATTCGAATTCAATGTTTTTATGAATAAAAGTATGTTATTAAGGTGCAATCATAAAATTTTATTAAAAAAAACTGCATTTGAACATGGATTTCATTTGTTATTTGTTAAAAAATAATGAGTTTTAGCGAATGTTTTTCATTAATAAAACGCAAATCCATGAAACGATTATATACGACCGGTCACTTTTCGGTCTTCATGGAATGGACAAAATTACACAATTCGAATTTAGATATACGATCGATGATCAATTGTATTCATTGTCCATCCATTAACAACTTTACACAATCGCACCTCTGGATATTCAAAACCCCGTCGTAAATAATACATTAGCCAAATGAAGCGCAACCAGTAATCCTGGACCAATTTCCATCGACAGCAAATGTAGTCTAAGAGCCAGTGAACACCAGACCTACGTTATTTTATAACAGCTGAAAGTTTGTTAGCGCATGCTCCCAAGTCCCAACCTAGGTAAGAACGTTGATGGATCATTATGAAGTCTGGGTCATTGTGTACCGTAGCTGTTAACAGCTACCCTAAAATGATGGCAAGGGATTGGAACGGTCAAAAACTATCTGGCTAATGAGGAAACAACCTCTAATTATTTCCCAAATATAAAAATCTGCTTTTATACTATAGCATAACTTTTACGGTATTCATTACACTGTAATTCTACTTACGCCAGACCTACGGCGTTCTAGCTCTTAGTCTAATGGGAGCCGCCCGCCATACTAATCAACCTCGGCTAAGGAAAATCTTTATTTATGCACATAGTAATAAGGTGGCATTACGCATTCCTGTCGCATCTCCGCGTTCACCTAAGGCAAGGCGTAGGCATAGATCAGCAGCTAAGAGAGTTGAAAGGGTAATCTGGATTAGCCTTGTCAAGAATATAAATAAGTTGTGTTGAGGGGCTTTCACTCGCGTTGTGATTTAGAGAACGGTAGATACAGTCGATTTTTCTGATCAAATTCTAATTTTCTGCACAAGATGTGATTTCACATATGACACAATTCCATTGTAAAGTATAACCACAGAATAATAACACTACTACCGTACAGAAGCTTTACTTCGCGAAGGTATTTAAAAAAAAAAATGCTCAATGTCATTAACAATATGGTGTAATTTAGCCTGTCTCAAGAGTCAAGCACCATTTTGTTGACAAACGTCAGTGATCGGCACTGCGCCGAAGCTATAGGGCTGACTTCGGTAAAATGATGTGACGTGAGGTGCCAAACTATGGAAAATGGCGGAGGAAATACATGATTTAGCATGAATTATCATGAATAATATTAACTACTTATTTACCTATGTTTTTATTATTATTTAGGCAGTTAAATACTGCACAGTATTTAGTACACCATTTTCTTTATTTTCTTCCATCATACACAAGAATACGCGTGCGTGAGTCAATGTTCGCTCGTATGTGAGGCCTTGTCGAATAGTATCCTGTAGGTGGGCCAACGTGCGTGTTTTGTTTTCGATGTAAACTCGCGGAGATGAACAGGCCTGGTATAACTAAGATGGCTTAAGGGTCACTTCCCAACTACCAAACAAAGGGAGGCGTCTCCGTTGTTCAAGATCGAGCAAACAAAGCCGGCAAAGAAAGTCTAGTGTAAAATTAATAAAACTTATTTACGCGAATCCAATTTAGTCTTCTATCACTTAGGATTATTACATCTACGAGAAATTTGCATAAACATAGCGAAATACGCCTTCCCGTAACTTCCTTGCCATTAGTCCGAGACGGCTCGTCAAATACTTTGCCGGCTCCTTCATTTAACTTCATTACGCGTTCTGGAATATTACGGAATATTTACGCGGCTGTCCTTATCGAATAATAGGTTATTCGGCGATGAAGCGATTGGTGTCATCGATGTACACTTCGATTTTATTTGGAGAGAAAATTATCTTCTATCTTCTTCTCCTGCCTAGCTCTACCTACGTTCGTCACCGCCAAAAGACGTCCACTGTTAGATAAATAAAAAAAAGCGCTTAAGAATTTCCAGAACGACCCGTCTTGTGACCTGTCAGTGAACTGCTCCTGAATCGAATGTACCTACTACTACTATTTCTATTTATTTATATTAACCGGCAGACAGTGACGACTGAGTTTGTTGCGGCGCTTCTTCTCAGCACTTGCCAAATGTTGGTCTCGAAGCGCTGGTAGGGTAAAAAGATTATGAGACATGTAGAGGCTCCTTAAGAGCAAAATGACGATTTGTAAGAACTATTTATTAGTCTAAACAAATAAAGAAATTTTGACTTTGACTTGCACTACCCGCATCCAGAATCCAGAAACATCCCGCGACCTTTACTAGATTGTCGCTCATAGTCGTCGCGATAGGGAGCTCTTAGTTATTCCAAATTCAAGCTCCAACAGGAGGGTGTACGTGTAAATACCTAGCTGTAAATATTATGGTGTATAGAAATGTGATATTCGAATGCTAATTCAGATGCTCCACAAACACGTCTCCACTGGAATGAATAATATGTAGATCGAAAATGACTTAACTTATTATTTAAAAACTATTAATAAATAGCATGCTGTTTTGTTTTTAACTTTTTACCCGGAACACACAGCCGGCGCGTGCGCAACAGCATTTCGTGACAAAACAAAGTCAACGCGGTCGTTCGATATACCTACGTTAAATAAATTAAAATAATCTAACGAACTCTCCGTTATCGATACATCCCAATGGAATCCTTATGCAAAGCGTCGGAAATTATCAGTGCGGGCAGGGTTGCCTGTTGGTTATTTCCCTAGTTCGCAAACGTCCGGGACGGAGGCTGCGCGACGGGTATCGACACTTCCGGGGAAAGGATGTTTCTTTTACTACGTCTATTTAAAGGACAGTGAAAAAGGGACCCGAAAGGGTACACAATAAATACACTTTCTATACGGTGAAAATACCTAGCAAGATTTCAAAATTCTCTCTATACCGCTTTAGATGCAAGTCGTGGTCATGTATTTTTTTAAGCTAATGGATATTTAATTGAATTACTATTCTGCGTTGTTACCAGGGGCTCTACAATTCGAAACAGACATTATTATAAACACTTCAAACCAAATAACGTCCTGTCACAGACCATAATAGAAGCTTAACAAGTGATTATCCTTCTCTCTATTTGATACTGTATTTCTGTTCGTAACAGGGATTACTAAATCTTTTGTAGCAACTAACGAAAGTTGAATCAACATCAATTAATTAGCTTGTTATAGTTGTTTGCTGCTATTTTTATAAGAAATTGAATAATACTTTAAAACTACATTTTGAAAATCGTTTCAAGTGCCAGCCCTAGGCCCTATCCGGATCGCAATAAGGTTCAATTTGCGCCATTTACCTGCCCCCCACAATCATCTTCACCCAATGACGCGCATAATTTTGCTGATGAACGTCTGTTTTCAAGGAGATTGCTATTGGATAATGCAATCGCACTCAGTAACGTCTATTATTAAGACCGGGAACAAATACACAAAGTGATTTTACATATTATCTCTTTGTGTGTATCCCTTACGGAAAGGACTTAGAGGTTGCCCAAACAAATGTTTCGACAACCCAGCCTAGCCATGTTAGGGTACGCGCCGTGATAAAATATTAACGACGATTTTAGACGACAAACGTATGGGCTTATCGCGGCGCGTATCCCAGGCCTACAGGACAGACTGTCCTTGTGCTTGTGCCACAGAACGAGGAGAGCCGACCACAAATAATAGGAAATGGTTAGGACAAAGAAGAAGAGACGCGTGTATCTCGGAAAAATTGAAGACGTCAGCTTCGAGTGCTCTAGCAGAGTAAATACACAAAATTCGGCGCATTACCCCGCTAATCCACGCAAATTTTGTCAGTGTGTGCGTGCGCGCCGCATACGTATTGGCGCGCTCACATACAAACCGCTCTCGGTGCGTTTCTATGAAGATGACCTACTCATTTGTATTTACTCTGGCTCTAGCCATATCCACCATCAAAACATATTTAAAAGTTAGTCATGTAGCTTCTGGTTAACGTCAACTCTATCCAAATTGAAGTGATGCTCGCTTAGCTTCAGATGCCATAACTAGTCACGGAATGTAGTTGACGGATCATTACCCCATAAAAGGCATCGCGAAAAAGGGAGTCACATTTTGCGCAACATAGCGTGTGGTCTAGATGGTGTAATTGCCTTCATAGTTATGGAATGCAACCTAATTGTACCATTCGTACTCTATTGTAGTCAAAGGCAGACGCACTTAGGGTTGCCAGGCGTCCGGATTTAGCCGGACATGTTTGGCTTTTTAGGGACTTGTCCGGCCAAATATTGCCTTGTCCGGCGTGTCCGGCTTTTTATTTGGTTGCCGCGCCAGGCAAAAGTCGAGCCACAGAATCATATGAAGCGCACGCATCAGGATGTGTCTCGTCCCCCCCCCCCGTCACATGTCCGGCTTTTAGGGTAAAATGTCCGGACAAATGAAGCACAAAGTCCGGCTTTTGTGGTTTTGGACCTGGCAACCCTAGACGCACTCGAGTGATCAATGATTATGTGATTAATCAATTATGGTGGCCATTGGACGACTGATAACTCGTGATGGAACACTTAATTACAGGTACACTTATGTACAGAGCACTATAATTTGATTATCCTTTGACAATATTACCAACAGTGATTGTTTAAATACAATTATACCTTATTGTTTGTATTTGAGGGGTGGTCCATGTATGAATGTTTCTATTTCACCCACGAACATGATACACAGGAACATTCAACGTTTTTACATCAAAATAACATAAATACTTAAGACTCAAGGTGGAAGGTTTTTGAACTGCAAAAAATCAATGTCGCAGCTTATGTAGGCTTAGGTCTACTTTATTAGTGTTATATACGCAAATGCTTGGAACAACCTATACAAGACGATAAATAATATTTTTACTATTGCTTCATGCCGTCCGCAAATGAAGTTCTGTCTGGGCAGTTAGGTCAGTATGGCGAAATTCTTCGTGCAGTTGTAAGACTTGCAAGACGATTGACTGCTCCTAACCTCTGCTGTAACCTCCACCAATCTACGTATGTAGCAACTGCAGATATATGAGCAGTGAACAATTACTACATAACAATCCGTGTAACAATTTCCATTTCAAGCTGTCCATATCCGAATCCTCATCATAGAGAGAGCTCTGCACAGAATCTCATTGAATATTATTCAGATACACTTAATGCAAGTCCATATGCGTCAATACATTTATATCTTGATCAAATTCCCATTTAGTTAATTAATAACTTAAACTTGATTACTATCCGGCTCATAGCAATCACGTTAGCAGCGAATCATCAATAATGACGTGTGTGTGCTGTGTAACACTAACTTAGCTTCTATAGCTTGCGATGATTTTATCTACAAAGCGTTGTTCATATAATACATTTAGTTACTATCCTCTACCTAGATTGCCTGGAAGTGATCACTATCAAGCGATAAGACTGCTTGAATTGTACCGTTTCACCTTGTGAAATACCAAGTAATTATTCATTTCACTAGGTGCAATCAAAGTGTCTCTCTCTATTAATAAAAGAGTCAAATCAAGAGGGCGAACGCGTATCTTGATGATAACGCTATGTCCTACGTTTGATCTCAACCTCATCATCTTTTAAGTGAATCAGAGTTCTGTCTACTCTCAGTAAATAATTACTTATTCAAACGGCATTTAAAGACACTCAAGTTAGGAAGTATGCGGGAAGACAGACGCTGGAAATATAAAGTTCCAAAAGTAGAAAGAAATATTCACAAAACGTGGCAGAGCAAGAAAGACTTGTATACAAAATTTCTGGTTACGTAAAATTTAATAAATCCGTATTGGCGTGGAAAATATTAATACCAAATGCGGTACATATTTCATTGAGGTTTTTTGCCACCCCACGAGGACGTGCGAGCTTTTGATGCATAAAAATCATTTATGTGGAAAGATATGGGGCACGTGACAACTTGGTATGCGGTTCATAACCAGGGCAACATGTTTCAGGTTCTTATACCAGCCCTGTAAAGGGCGTGATGCGGCAACTTAATGAAAGGAAGAGAAAAACACGCTTAGCTGATCGTGATACTAAAAAAAAAAGGAAGTAAAAAAGAAATATACAGTTACTTATATGTTTATTAACCATATCCACCCTCTTATGTCGAGTGTAATCACTCACGAACAAAGCATTTACTTCCTACAACAGAACACCGCGTTCTTTGTTACATTCCCTTTAAGCTCCATCCATTACCGAAACGTTATTTAATGATTACAGACGATGCATGAAGAATTATTCGTTGAAAACAAAGAAGAGGTTGTATAAAAATCTCACATTTTCCTCTAGGTCTATTTAAAATACGGTTATGATTTGTATTTAGAGAAGAAAGAGCTCTGAGGAAGGTCATAAATCGTGGGCGGACCCTCGGCCGCGGGTCGGAGCGGCTGACCCGGTTACGTATCGGCCTGAATTTAACGAGCAAACTATGCCCCAAATCGCAACTAGCAAATCTCATTAAATTATAATTTACATAATTCTGCTATTTGTTTGTTTAGATACGCGAAAGGATGGTACGTGGTCAGGATATAGAAACATTAAAAACTGATAACCCAATTTTCATATCATTTTATTGTTTCCACCCCTTTAAAAGGTGACATCAGAAGATAGGTAACGAGTATTACAAGTATCCCGACGATAGCTCTGATGTCGATCGATTCCATTTACTACAGAAATCGGGCTTTCTAATGCAACAGAAGTTTAGTGAACTCTGACGCATAAATTATGTTTCTTACTCTACTTTTTACTTTACGTTACCTATGTACCTTACTACCTTAGCTCCGTTTTTTTTTGCAGATATTATATCTGTCGCTATTGCGCAAGTCAGCATCGTTATTAGAGTGAAATAAGCAAAAACATCCGAAACTTCGGGCAACGATGTAGAATTTAACCCTGTAGAAGTGCAGATTGGACGAAAGAGAAGACAAAAGCCTACCTGCTTGTCCCTGTCTTGCGGCATCTTAGTGTCCACGCCCTCGGGGAATGGCTTGACGAGCTCCGGCTTCTCCTTGATCTTGTCCATGATGAAGTCCAGCACCACCATGATGCCTTCCACGGAGCCGGTGATCAGGCACGCGCGCTCTGTTGTGCCTGTGGACAAAGAAAACTTCGCTTTAGGTTTTTGATTTAAACTCATCTTTGCCCTGTTATTGCAAAAATCTATATCAGAGGCTAAAATCATCTTTTACTAAAAATATGACTAGCTCAAGGTCGTGCCAAATCCTAAGATTAAGAATAAGAATGTAGCAGCTACACCCAGACAGCAAGATAAGCTAAGATGATTTACAGAGCATACCACGACCCGAAAAGTTTTAAAATACTGCCTGAAAAAGTCCGAGGACCGAAATATACCACAGGGTTTATGTAAAAAGGACGACCTGCGCAAACTCCAAAGTAAAGTCTAGTCTCGCTGCGTATGATAGGCAAACTAGTCGACGATGCTGTGTGCACAACAGGTTGAACAAAACCAAAAGCACCACAGCATTCCATTTCCTTTTGACAATGTGAGCTATCAAAGGAAAACATGTTCGTTACAAAAGAGCAAATTAATGGAGCTCACAAATTCTCATCGCACAGACCAAACAATATCAAGATTTCTTTTATATTAAGGGCACAGTCAAATGCATTACATGGTGTAGGTATTATTCCATGCGCATTTGAAACACAAGGCTAAGCAAATAAAATAAATTATCTTCAGACCTTAATAGCATCTAGCCAAAGCTAGATAATGCACTTTGTTCTAATAATAAATTAAATATAAACACTTGCCAACGGTCAGAAACGAAAGTGACAAACAAATAAGTGTTATGACATTGCCAAGAATTGGTTTCAAATAACGCGTGTGTCGCTACCTGAAAATATATCAATTACTAGGCTTTGACCGCTGTTCCGCCCGGGCCGCTCAGGGCGTGGGCTTCTGATTGACATTGACATAATTAATTAAGCTATCTAAATAAATGAAATCATTTAATCGGAAATAGAGAAATAGCCTATAATGACCGTTATATTGACATTTTAATTCATTCAATATTGCTGCTGTAAAGGGTGGTTTCTTAATTGATATAATCACCGTGTCAAGTCTGAAGTTTGATTAAACCTACAGAGCAGACCTGCATAAAAACAGCTGGTTCTCTACTCGTACATTGTTTTGCCGTAGGTTAAGCTTTTCCAAAGCGGTTCTGTGTCCGACAGGCACAGAGGAACGAACCACCCAAAAGGTTGATTAAATTCGAGAACAATTTCAGTTGCAAATTGGATAGTCAAGTTGGTGAAATATTGTTAGCATGTAAACTAGTTACAGTTTACAGCCCAGAGTAATCTCGGCCGGGACTCTTACATATTTGGGCTGGATAGTTTAAGAGTTCTACCATGAACGGGGCAGGGGTGAAATACATTCGTTGGGCTTTCGGCACTTGGGCAACTGTCTTTTGTCAACTTATTTTACTTTAGCGATATTGTAAAAACTTCTAAGGCCGACTTGCGTCCCTGTTTTCTAATGAATGATATGCATTAACCTATTTTCGATTGCGTAAAATAATGTTAGGATTACTAAAACAGTAAGTACACTATATTGCTCAGATTTATTTAATTCTTTTTTTATTTCTATGGTATGGAAGATATCATAAATCCTGTTGCTCATTAAAAACTTTTGATGCCGTAAATTCGAACCAGTGTTAATAAAACAAAAGGTCCGCAAATATTAATACAGCTTTATTTAATTCATCTTTTATGGCTTCAAGGTTTAATATGCATCTCATTAAAACCGAGATATTTTATACCATAATTATATTAATAACGTTAAAACGAAATTTTATTTAAATAATAACCAGGAAAAGATTGTAAAGGCCAAACGGTTTTGATAGTAGCCTTTTTAATCTTAGTAGTATTATTAATGCCTAATACATATTCTAAATGGCAACATAAATAATAAAAAAGTCATGCATTTGACAAAATAAAATTAACAGAAATTATCTTTTGGTAGAAATGTCACTTACAAGAGTAAACCATTTAATATGTGTCCTAATTTTGTAGTCAATAGGTTTGTTCTTTTTGGTGGCAGTAAATAACGAGCACAAAAAACATCGGCGATAAGTATCGACCTCTGACCTTGATAACGCGGCGTGGTCGGTGAATTATTTGGAGAAAGAACTAATGGCTTGGTATGAAGAAAACTAGTTTCTGCCCACGACTTCACCCGCGTGGACTTTGTTCACAAGTTTTAATCGCGCCTTCAGCAATAATAAACAAGTTCGTGAGACACCCACTTTAGATATTATTTTCATATAAGTATCCTCCATTTGAATGTATATTTACATTCTGAGTGAATTTACAAAGGCATCATTATTTGTTATATGTTATGTATAGGTTTGTATGTAGGTGGTTTCTAGTTGTGTATGTTGATGTGTTGTCTTTGCTGTCGCAGTGGGATGTCCTGTGATGACAGTGTGTAGTGTTGTTGTCGTTGTAAATAAATAAATAAAATAAATAAATAAATATTGGAGAGGGTCGTGCTCCTGCAGTGGAGACTAACAAAATGATACCTTTAATTTAACTTTTTATTTACCTTTAATTTTGAAAAGATAACCTAAATGTCTTTCTTTTCGCCCCCGCTTGTCTCTATACCAAAGTACATCAAAATTGGTTCAGTGGTTTAGGCATTAAATCGCTTAAACAAACAGATAAACAGTAACTTTTTCATTTATTTATCAACTGCTGGTAGACAAAATAAACAAATTTTAACTTATCTTTGGCACGTTACTTACTAATGGGTGATAAATACATATTATAATAGACTTATAGCCAATTTCAGGAGTGGTATTGTGCCATATTTTTCTATAGATGAAAAGCCTTTGTCCTGTATTGGAAAACTTACAAGCTCACTTATTTATCGGAAAACACATAAAATAAAGCTAACAGGGAAAAAAAGAGGATCTAAACTAAATTGCCCTTCCCAAGGCACCTCTACATTTCTCAAATATAGTTAACCTCTCCTCTACTTCGGAACAGCAGTTCAGTTGGGGTTAGGAAACTGAAGTGATTGTCAGCCTTTCTCTACATTCAGTGTAATGCGAGTGTAAGTCTAGTTAATTAAACAATCATTTGCATTAAACATACATTTACCAGCCGCAATCTCAAACAGGCGTAAAAAATGAATCTACAACGTACTCCTTATTATAATTCGCAGTCCCAAAGTGGCGAGTCGCGTAAAATCAATAGACGATGCGGGGATCGCGGAGTAAACAAAAATTAGGACGCGTCCAAATCGGGGTGCGGGTGCCGTCCCGTCCGCGGTCCCGGCACTCCCGGCTCCGGCTACCCTGAAGGGTTGCCAGATCCGAAAAAAGCATCTCCTCATTTGCATACACAGATACACTGTTCCTTAAAAGCTTTTACGTAAATTCCTTAACCCTGGTCTTTTCTGACCAATTTCCGTGCAAATCCTGCGGCGATTTAGCGTTCTTTTGGGCTTACCCAACCTTAGATGGTTACTAGTTTTCGGGATTTTATGAGCCAACTTTTTCTTTAAACAAAAGTATAATATTTAGCCTTCTGGCTTTCAGTAAATATTGTTATACACAAAGGTAGCTCATTATAATAAATATCTAAACCATTTTATGATTCATAAGAATAAGAATACTTTATTCAGCATAGAAAAATAAAATAAAAATACAGTACATATAACATTAAACTACAAGCTATGCTGAAGAGGCGTCCGCTCAGCTATATTCGCGACATAACAAGCTAACAAACATAATATTAATCTATGCAAGCTCTACTTAGACCTTAGCCGTAGAAGCGGTGCTGTTTTCAGCCGCTGAAAATCCTAGATTAGCCGAACCGTTTAAGAAGCCAATTAAAACAGTTCAAGCGTGGATTATGCGATAATAACATTAGATATTCAGCAGTCCAGCTTACCGATACCGATACAAGTGGATTTACGTAACTTCCCGATGGATAATGTTATCAAGCCAGCAAGCCCTATCCGGGCCGCCAGCGTCCGCTATTGATCGCTCCGCTCCGCACGCTCCGCAATGAATGGGACCTCGTCACGCGTTATTTGCGCCATTACATTTTATAGTTACGGCTATGGTTACAATATTTCATTCATAGAAAAAATGGTAGATGTGTTGCAATTTATTCTTATTGTGCAGAATGGAGATACAATCTGTCGTGCGGATATCGAAAGTGCCATTTTGGTTGGCTGCTTCCAGCTCCCCCGTGGAACTCGATTGGGTCGGCTCGGATCTTTATTTAATAAGAGTTTGAGATGTTCGGGGCTCGAATCAAAGAAAGTGGCAAATAACCTGGTAAATACCAGTTCAATATACATAACACTACAATAGCTACTGAAATATTAATACATTTATGGAGGACATTCAATACATTCAAATATTTCGTAGCATGTTCATTATTAAGACGAAACATGATATTCAAAAGAGATTAGATATTATTGTGATCTTTGTCATGGAATTTCCATAAAAGGATGGATTTCATTACAAAGATGAAAGAAGACATCTTTACGGAATTTTGATGAGGCACATCCTCACTTTCATTACAACACGACAGTTTTGTACAACAAAGTAACTTAAGGTGTTAGCGAGTTTATTCTGATACTGTTTTACATAAGAGAATTAAGTTATTTTCTAAATTTATTTTTGACAGCTATGGTAGGTAAGTCGGTTTTTCCTCATATTAAAAAAAAACTTAATAAATAATAGACAAAAAGGTGGAGACAAAAATGGCATACATATTCGTCTCGTAACATCTGAAATTGCTCAGTGCTCACTCTTGGAAACTAATTTGAAAAGAGGCTACGAATAGTGACTTGAGTTTCTTGCGCTGCCTCTTCTCAGCACTGACCCACATTATGGTTCCGATGCAGTTGTAGGTACTTCATGCACAAACTTCAAAAAGTTGTGTTTTTGATACTAGTTAAAATAAATTGTATATTAAAGGAGAATCTGAAATTGTATACGTTCGTAAGATGATTAAAACGGTAATTACCTACCGAAATCGTATCAGAACCGAGGCGTCACAACAACATGCTAAGTGTATTAGTATTCCGCTCGAGTAACCGAGGCATTAGGCAA